CTATGTGTTGTGGCACTTATTAGCCATGGTAATATGCAATTCTTTGTTGTGTATGGATTTCTGTTTCTAACATTAGTTCTGATCCTTTTTTAGATCTTTTCATCTTATTAGATGCATAACACTCCAGTCTGGCCCAAACTCTAGGTAACAAAAAGTAAATACTGTTTTTGTATTTTCTGTGCACTTCAAGGAAAGAAGATAACTGCTTGAATACACATACACATAGAAAGAACTACAGCTGGATACAGTGTTTTGTCTGTATTAAGTAATTTTCAAATTTCACTGTTTCTGATGTATTAGTAGAACTGCATTAACTCCCTCCTGTGTTTATTGTGATGTCCTAGCTACCTATAGTTACTAAAAACCCTATTGAAATCACATTTTAAAACATTTTAAAATGAGTTTTTCAAAATTCATTAAAACACAGTTTCTTCTTCTCTGAAACTAAAAAATAAGTTATTTAAACTCTGTTCCAATATAGCTGTTTTCCTTCTCCTATTGGCTTTAGATAAATATATATTAACATGTACAAACCCAGAAAATTAAATGCATGTATTTGGCCAAGATGCATCTGTGTCCACATAGGACTGAGAAAAGTGGGCATAATAATACTACACTTTCTTAATGTGGTATCAGTGAAGAACATCCATTCAAATACTATGGATAGAGAAAGCCAGATGTAGCACTCATGTAAAAATAATTCAGAAGAGAATTCTGTTCGGACTGTGAAAATGACACTTCTCATAAATTCTTTAGGCATTGTCATACCAGGATTGAGTTGAAGCCAAACAGGCATTGATTCTTGCTTTGAATACCAGTTGATTGACTGCTGTTGTAAACCATTTAATGGGACTCATATTCAAAAGACAGCTGAAAGAATAACTGTCTCATTTTAGCATTCTGAGATGTCAGTAACATAGCAAGTTCAAGAAGAGAGATTTAAACAAATAATTTGAAAAAACATTGCAATATCTACCAAATATACTACTAAACAGCTTTCATTTGTAATGAGTTATTTACCAAATTCCTTAATCAGATACATATTCCAAAATATTCTGAAGTGTATTTGTGAAAAGCGGAGCCTCAATTTTACCTAAATGAAAAATTTCATAGCATGTTAAATAATCTTGTAATTTCTCTTTAAGCATTTGGATGCACATAAATAATATTTGAATGTACATACATGTACAGAAGACATTAGATATATAATTATATACACAGATGTAAACATAACTATGAGACATGCATAATACAAGGCAGTAAGTATAATATATTTAGATAGATAAATAGATAGATATGTATAAATACATCTCACTCTGATTTTGACTGCTCTGAATTTTGCAATAGTGCTGTCACTAATTTAAACAGACATTCTACACTTCCTTTGCTCTGTACTGCCTTTGATTTGTTTTGTAACAGCCTACCTAAGCTAAATAAAGGTGGCCCTAAGAGCAAACAAAAACATTAACAGCAAATGGCATTTGTGAAGTGCCTGACATGTTTAAAGTATGGCGTAAGTATTTGTTATGTGTTTGTGTGGCGCAGGTTTTTTTGGTGGCGGGGGAGGGGCCGCAGGGACAGCTCCTGTGAGAAGCTTCTAGAAGCTCCCCCGGCTCCAAGTCGGACCCGCCTCTGGCCCAGGCCGACCCAGTCGGCAACAGTGGGATAGCACCTCTGGGAGAACAGGTTTAAGAAGGGGAACCCACAGTGAGTGGGGGGATTGGAATGTGAGAAGAACCCCTCTGCGGATACCGAGGCCAGTGAGGAAGGAGGGGGAGGAGGGGCGCCTGAGGAGGTGGATGTCCCTGCAGCCCGCGGTCAGACGGCAGGCTGTGTCCCTGCAGCCCGTGGAGGTCCACGGTGGAGCGGAGGCCCCCCAAGATGGCCGTGACTCCATGGGAAAGCCCACGCTGGAGCAGCTGGTGACTGAAGATCGGCCCGCGGAAAGGACCCATGCCAGGGAAGTTTGGGAAGAACTGAAGCCCACGGAAAGGACTCACGCCAGGGAAGTTTGTGAGGAACTGCAGCCCGCGGAGAGGACTCACATTGGAGAAGTTCGTGAAGGACTGTCTCCCGTGGGAGGTACCCCATGGTGGAGCAGGGGACAAGTGAGGAGTCCTCCCCCTGAGGAGGCAGGAGCAGCAGAGACAAGGTGTGGCGAGCTGACCCCAACCTCCATTCCCCATCCCTCTGTGCCGCTGGGGGGAGGAGGTGGAGAGAACCGGGAGTGGAGTTGAGCCGGGAAGGAGGGAGGGGTGGGGGGAAGGCGTTTTAAGATTTGGGGTTTACTTCTCATTATCCTTGTTTTGATTTGATTTGTAGTAAATTAAATTGATTTTGTTTCTTCCCCGAGTTGAGTCTTTTTGTGCCTGTGACCATAAGTGGTGAGTGATCCCTCCCTGGCCTTGTCTCGACCCACAGGCGTTTCTTTATATTTTCTCCTCATTCCACCGTGGCCGGGGGTGGGGGAGTGAGGGAGCCGCTGCGTGGTGCTTTGTTACCGGCTGGGCTTAAACCACAACAGTATTTAATCATAAGTCCTCAAAACAGTCCTCCAGACCAGTGAGCACTTCCACCAGCAGTGCTGCAGCACAGGGAAACAAGTTACCACAAGGCAGAAACCAGGTTGGCACCAAAGCCATACCCAGAGTCCTGGAACCAGCACTAACTTTTAATAGTGCTGTTTATGTAAAGCTAGGCCAAACAACAGAAACTTAGAAGTAGTACTAACTGTTCATGAACACCCTTTGTCTCCAACACAGTGTTAGTTTTATAGCATTAAGAATGAAACAATCCAGCTTGAAAAGTGGCTGAAAACCAGCAGATGAGGCACCAGGTATAACCTGCCTATTAACCAGGTATAGTTTTTATGATTATAAAAAAACCAATATGTGCTTAGGAAAAATGAAGTATAATGCATTATTCACATGTATTTCTGTCAATGATAAGCCTTTGAAAGATGGATCTTTCCATCAAAATTAGGTCAACTGGAAGAGGTGCCTGGATAAGAAGTTTTCCTTTTATTTTATGCTCATCGTACCTTTAAAGGTTTTGCAGAATCTGGGGATGGACACGGTACCTTCATAAAGTCTTCAAATTCTTGAGATTTCTTAGTCCTTAACACTGTATCTTCATAACAAACAGAAGTTTTCATCTTTTTGAGATTCCTTATTACTTAAGGATGAAGACAGGGCTTTCCTTTAAAACTGTCCACACAAGAAAAGATTCCAGTGAAGATGTTTCTATTCAGCTAGTTGGGATGGCAACGGTCTTGGAAGATTTCCCTGATGTTGCATGTTTTGTTCTTTCTTTCTGAGGATATGATCATTCCTTGGTCATGAACATTTTCATTACTCAGGCTAGTATGTTTTGGAGTGGGAAACGTTAGATCCACTGAATAATTTGTTTGATGGAATGATTTCTGGTCAATTTTTTTTTTTCATTTTTCTGTGTATTACCAGAAATCTCGAAAATGTTGCAAGGTATATGAGAACAAATTTATCATAGTCTTCAAGTAAACATTATATTGCTGAGGCTCCTTGTAAAAGATTTTTCACATTTCTTTCCTGTTATTAGAGGATCCATACAAGAACAGATACTCTCTTTTCCTTAAGTAGATCAAAGTTAAGACTTTGCTTTATTAAGATTTATTAAGACTGTCCATATTCTTGCTGAGATGGAGCTATTGCTCGTTGACAACATGCCAAATAGAGATTTGCTCTATTTCTAAATTTCTATTTCTAAAGAAAAAAGACAAAGTTAAGTCTTCAGTGAACTTTTAGTATGAATTTCAGTATCCTATGCCTTCTAACATCACTACATTCAACCTTTGACATGACTGCAACAAAGAAAAAAATAATCCCAAAAACATAAAAACCAAGCTGTACCAGTCCAAAGAAGAAAAAATATAACCTGACCTCCAAAGACCATGACCTGTTCCCTGCTATAAACCTGCCTTTTGAGACTCACCTCTAACATGACATATATAAAAAAATCAGCCTAATTAGGAGAGGTGAAAAAAGCAATTAATATAAAAAATTTTGCATTTTGCTGTATTACTACTTGACCATCTTCCCATGTCATCTGATTTCTTAGAGATCTGCAGGTGCAGGAATGGTATTTTTAAAGATATTCCCAACACATCACACAATAAATTCCTAAATTTAAAGGGATGACTGCATTTAAGAAAAAATCCTCAACGTTCTCCAGTTATTCCACTTAGAGTGTTTTAACTCATGTTCTTAATATAACTAATAGCAGTCCTAAGATCCATTATCAGCTACTGGGAACTAAGCACCACAGAGAGTTTTATTGTACAAGCCATTATCCCATAGTCTCTCAGTCCATAGACCTTCCATGTATACCATCTGAAGTTCCAGCTATACAGGACGTGTGGCAGAAATGAGAAGACAAGCCTAGACTATTAATCATAGGGATGTGAAGCTTCTGTTCAGATAAAGCAGGAGGACACAGCTGTGATTTCTAACGTTGTAATGATCTAGGCAAGGTGTCTGTACAATGTTTGAAGTCTTGATGGTATTCTGAACAGTTATTATGAAATCTGTTGTACCACTGAAATGCTCTCTGTATATGAATATAGTCCAAGTAAGGTCACATCTCTGCCAAACCACAGACGTTTCACTGAGCTTTAATCATCTATTATTACCACATCTAATCTAACTTAGTCACACAGGCTGTCTCTATAGTCAACAGAGAGATGAGCAGCTCTGGAGAGTGATACATCTCACTTATCTTAAACAGTCATTTCAGGATGAGAAATGGAACTGGATTCTGGGGATGGACAGTTGAACACAAACTTTAGCTGTCAGCAAGAAGCACTGCACAGTGTTCCTGGAGAGTCAGGGTTGAAGGACAGACTTCTGTCAGACTCCATGGATATTATTAGAAGAACTGCCTAATATATGCTCCAGAAAAAAAATGGCTTTTCAGGCATATAACTTATAGACACAATTGATATAAGAGGAAAATGATGTACTTACCAAAAACAATAGAGGACTCACAGTAGTAGTAACCATTTGGTTGCTTTTTTTTCAACATGGAGCAAAGATCTAGGCGGTGCAGGATTTCAACTCCAAAATAATGGCTTTTAAAATCTTCGTACAAGCTTGAGTCAATTTTTTTCACCTTTAAACAGCAACATAATATTCAATTAGCCATTCTACTAGAAGACTGAATTTTCATATTTAATTTCTGTAGTTTTCATTTTAACCAGAGGTATAGTTAGGATGGAAAACTACTTCAAGATGCAAAAAGAATACTGAAACAATAATGTGCCAAATCTTCTGTTTTAGTTAAGCACTGTCTGCTGCAGAACTTAAACAAGGAAATAAAGGTGTCATTACTTCTCCTTTCTACCCCTTCCTCTTCAGTCCTGTAGGAAACAGTTCGACATACACAATGCTACAACTGCTCTAACTTCCAATGGTTTGCAACAGTCTTCATGGAACATGCAACTGGAAATTATTCTTGCTGTCATCACTGAGCATGCTACTACAAGGAAGAATCTCAAATGTTTGTCCAGGGCAGTTTTCTGGGTCTTTAAAATCACCAAACAGGAAAATGTGGTTGTATTTAACTAGCACTAGACTTTTTATCCCAGTAAATCTAAAAACTTACAGTGATTTATAGTATCAGTATCATTATGTAGTTTTGCATATATGAAGTGGAACATAATAAATATTCTATTAGGCTGTTTTCAGAAAACCTCATTTCAGTAGTTATTTTAAGAGTTTAGGGCTCCTCGTTCCATCATATTTTCAATAAAAATAGATGATCTCTGTAGAAATTCAGTATTTTCTCCTTCAATCTACCTCACAATAATGCTGTTTGCTTTTTAAAAATTGTTGCTATATGCTAAGGGATATTACGAGCAACTGCTGCCTCCAGCAGCTCCAGCCCAGGGCTCCCTACTGCCTGGATGCTGGAGTCCAGCCCCATGCCCCAGGGAACCAGGGTCTCTTATGGATGTACCTGCTGCTTTCATGTCCCAGAGACATGTATATCATGCTCAGGGGACATGGAGACAGCTGGCTACACAGGCTGCCACAGACAAGGTGCTGCCTTCAACAGCACCCACATACATGGCTCACATGAGACAGAAGTGTGGACAGCTCCCAGCAGAGACAGAAGGTCACTGGTGCAGGCACACATATGACTCTCTCCAGGTTCACAAGCATGTGCACGTTTGTGCATCTCCCAAGCACTGTCACAGCTCCTCTGTCCGCCTGGCACCCCTGCCCAGATCCCAGGCCTCCTTACCCACCCCACAGGTCCCCTACTTGCCGGCTGGTCTAGCTCAAGGTTTGGTAGTGAACACCCGCACCTCTCACACAAACACTGTTTGGGGAAGATATAGACATCTGCCCCCAGCAGTCAGCACCCAGCACACTGGCGTGGTCAGACAAGAGCACCCACCAGCCCCATTTTACACGACTGACCCCTTTTACACCCCATTCTGTCCAGTCCTCCTTCGTTCCTCTCCATCCCCTTCCCCTGCACATCCCCCATCCGTTTGCACAGTCCCACCAACACCCTGGACCCTCAGCTTTACATCCCCAAAAGCTGCAAAGTTCCGGTTTGCCTGCAGTTTCTTGACAGGCCATCAATTAATGTGACTGACAAGGTTTGTTTCTTGATTTTGTGTACTATGTTTGATAGGTTTGTGTCTCTGTGTATTTTGTTTACAGCTTCTCCCTTTCCCTTACTCTTCCATTTGACAAAGTCCTCAACCAGACAATCCTATTGAAATAAACATCCCCACACTCGACATGCCCTTATCAGTCCCTGTGGCTGACCAGCTTTGGCTCTTGTTACTGCCTCCCTTATCATACACTGGTCAAGTTTGTGTCTCTGTATGTGTTGTTTAGAGCCTCCTCCTTTCGTTACTATACCCTTCTGCACTGAAAGGGTCCTTCACCAGACACCCTAAAGGAGACAGATGCTGTCTCCTTCCTCGCACCCTGACACTATATCCGTTCATGTGAGCATGACGCTCACGCATTTCTTGTGGTGCTTCATTCACAATTACTCATATGCAAGATGGGCTCTCTCTAATTTAGAGACTTTTGGCCGTCTTTAGTAAATTAGACTTTTGGTCCCCTAAAGTCTAATTTCGAGAAGGTCAGAAATTTCCTTAATCTCTGAAATAATGACATCTAGTGGTGGATGTTTTTCATTTTGTGTACAGTCTTCTTGGAAGTCTAAATTTATTCCAGCCTCACTGTCATTATTCAAAATTTGATATTCTATGGCTAGTTTAGTCTTACATACTAAGGTTATTTTGAAATTAAATCATTATTCTTTGCTTTTTGGCTGACAGTTCTTTGAAATACATTTAGACATCAATCAGTAATAAAAAAAGACCTTTTCAGCCAGGAGAACACTTGTCAATAATGTGAAGCCTTGAGTACTTGTGGAACAAAATGAAGAAAAGATCAAAATCACTACTTCACGCTCCAATAAAAAAATACCATTTACAAGAGGTTGGGATGTTGCTTATCAAAAACAGATTGGTAAGGTGTGAATCAAATGTTGAATGCTCAGGAATTGAGTTATGCTTGTGATGCACTACTGAAAGATATTTGGAAAAGCAGCCAAGGAAAAACTGTATGATATTTTTAGTAACTTGGAGCAATTTCTGGAGCAGTCTGCAATGGTTGCAATGAGATGTGAAAGGATGAAACAACGCAGGTGCATGGGAAGGTCATGGTTCATTTCTTAATTGAAAGGATCTGGAGCAGTGGAGATGAAAGAGAGGAGTTGTTCCCACATGGGAAAGTTATTGATGCTGATTATAGAGATACGCTATAATTGCGGGAGGGTGAGAATCAGAGTACTTGAGGCCATTTTGAAGCATTTGGTGCTGGAAGGGGAGGAGGAAGACACGTGCTTCTTGAGGAAGCACTGTAAAGGATGCCTGTAAAGGAACATGCTTGTGTAAGTGAGCTGGGAGAGGTGTTGCACGTGGAGCTTTTGCAAGACCAGCAGGACACCAAGGAGACAGCATCCAGCAGCCCTGTCATGTCTGTGCCTCCTCTGTATGCAGGCAGGGAAGGTGCGACCTGCTGTCCCCAGCCTGCAGTTAAACCCTCCAGCTGCATGGAGTCCCCATGGCTGTCAGCAGGCAGCCGGGGAGCGTTTGCCCCTTTGTGGGACCCTGGGGATGAAAGCTCAGGGGGTGGCAGGCCTTAACACGGCTGCAAAGCGAGGTGCCCAATGCCCCTGGCAAGCAGCTTCACTTTCCATGTACCAGACCCAAAGCCAAAATGCCCATCTCCCAGCACCACATGTCCAGCTCTCTAAAGGTGAGGGCTGCATATCTAGATTCATTTACAGCTGCTTGAAGTAGCTCATTAAGTGAG